CCACTGAGCATCCCCCCTTCCTACTGAGCATCACCCTTTCCAACTGAGCATCACCCCATTCCACTGAGCATCTCCCCATTCCACTGAGCATCTCCTCATCCCACTGAACATCACCCCTTCCCACTGAGCATTTCCCCTTCCCACTGAGCATCCTCCCTTCCCACTTTGAGCATCACCCCATCCCACTGAGCATCCCCCCATTCCACTGAGCTGAGACATCTTTACCTCTTCTCAGAGCTTTCTATCCCACCACTGCTTCTCCCGCAGGACCATTTCATCCAGCACCCAAGTGCAGGGAGGAGACTTCAACCTCTACGAGAACATGCGCTGCCATGGCGTCCCGCTGGTCACCATCAGCCGGGGGCGAGTCGTGTACGAGAATGGTGTCTTCATGTGTGCTGAGGGCACTGGCAAGTTCTATCCCCTGAGGTCCTTCCCGGACACTGTCTACAAGAAGCTAGTCCAGAGAGAAAAGGTAAGATGAGGGAAGGAGAAGAAGGGTATGGGAAGAGGTTGAGGCCCCCTGTTGGGGAATTCTGTAATGACTGTATTAAATCTCAAAGATGTTCTCACTCTCTTCTCCCACTGAATCCTATTGCCTGGAATGGTCACTTTAGGAACAATTGAAAGAGCAGAAAGGGGTACCTATAACAAAGTAAAACGTAGTGGGAACAGTCGCTAATTCCCCTGGAGCTAAGGGAATACTAAAGGCTGCTCACAGATGTCCCCAACATCTAGTCCCTGGGAGGATTCTTGCCCACCCTCCAGTGGAATTCCTGGCTTGGCCTGGGTTACCATATTTGCCCTGGAGTTGCTCTTTCCCTGAAACCTCCCCCTCCCTTGTGACTGTAGTAAGGTGGGTGGGATTTGCCAGGTTTGGACCCCCCCTCCCCCAGCACTGCTAATGGTCAGGCCAGGTCTGGAACAGTTCATATCTCAGGGGTCCCACCCAGTCCTTGGATTCCATAAGCACCCTGTTCACTAAAGTTTTGGGCTTCTCCTCATCCCCAGGGGTTCTGTCCTCCAAGTAGACACAGTTACCCAAAGGAAGCCTGGCTGTACCTTCATTGCTTGGGGATTGATTGTCCAGCCTTACCTTTGAGAGCTGGCCTGGAGAATCTGGCCCGAGTTCTTGCTGACAATGCCAGGTGCTGGGGACTGCAGGCCTGGCCTCTGGGCAGAGGTCGCAGATCAGGAGAGAACAGCTCTGACACCCTGAGAGCTGAAAGCATCATGCTGTTTCCTCTCCCCTTCCTGTGGCCTAAGGCAGCATTAGTGTGGCTTCAGAAGGCTCCTGTCTAGATAGGGCGAGCATTCTTCTAGCACGACCGAGGGCCCAGCAGCTCTCCTGTCTAGGCTCTGGGATGCCGTGGTTGGAATCGTGGCACACTTAAGAGATGTTGATCTTTTTTTTTTTTTTTTTAATTTCCTCACCCAGCTTCCCCGGTGTTCTGTTCGTCTGTTCCTTTTGCCCAGTACATCCCAGTCCTCTGTACACAGCAGGTGCTCACTGTGTGTTCTGAAGAAAGTTCAGTGCAGATTTCTGGTAAACTGCTCAGCTCAGCCTTGTCTGTCAGCCGCTTGTCTGTGCAGGGGTGAGGCCCAGTAAAATGGTCTGTGTGTTTTTCAGCCAGAGGCCCTAAGTAGCAGCTGGTAGGGGCGCCTTTTCTGGACCCTTCCAGGTGACCTCCCTGCCCCCACCCCACCCCCCATATTGTGGTCACTGTCCCAGGCCAGCATCAGCTTCCTACTCCCAGGCTCCATGCTCTCCACTCATCATCAGCTCTGGCTTCCAACAGGGACCAGAGATATAAAGGACCCTGACTGAAAATAGACTCAGCTGCCATATGACTGAGCTCTAGAAGTCTGCTCAATAGTATCTCAGGAATAGGGCTTTTCAGAGCTGCCTGGGGCTTGGCACACTTGCCATAAAATGATCATATGACCTCTCATCTTCAGCCAGACTTTCTTAGTCTCTTGGTTCTCTAGTCCTTTATGCCAAAGCCAAGCTTCTTTACTCAGTGCCTCAGGCCTCCCCTCCTTGTTCCCCTTCTCATTCCTTCCTGGAACCACCCAAAGGCTTTCAGGAGTAGCTGCTTCAGCCTGTGCCCTCCCAGCTGTTCTCTGAACACCCACTACTCTGGCTGGCCTGTGAAGCCCCAGCCCCGGAAGGAAGGTTCCACCGGGTGGGATGGGAGGCAAGTAGGCCTTTCTGCACTTTTCGGGCCCCTCACCAAGACTTCGTTCCACCCGAGTGTGGTCCTCAATAGAGCCCCTCTGTACAAGTGCATTCACAAAAACTACAGCTTTCTTTCACAAACTGTGGTCCAGGCCTCCTGGGCTGGGAGGGGTGTGTGTGACAGGACAAGGGAAACGCCAGAGCAGGATAGTGCCAGTTTCCATTCCCCATCTTTGATTATCAGAAGTTTTTTTTAAGTATTAGTTATTTAAGTCATCTCTACACCCCACGTGGGGCTCAAACTCCCATCCCCGAGATCAAGAGTCACATGCTCCTCTGACTGAGCCAGCCAGGCACCCCTGATTTCCAGATAGAATTTTAAGTGATCGGGCAAACTGGGAGTTCCGGGTTCCCAAAGGCACAGGAGGCAAACGTGAGCGTGTCTGTGACCGCTGAGTTCCTCTTGATTCGCTGGCTTGCGGGGCCTTCAAGGTTCCACCATTGCCTGGTTCCTTCCCAGTCTCGATGAAGTAAGGGCATGTAAGACTGATATTTGAGAAGCAAGCATCTAGAGCGTCAGAGTAAACTGGGCATATGAACACCAGAAGATCAATCCTGCTGGCTTTTTCCATGTGTGAGGGCCCAGAGCTCTCAGGATGACGATTGATCCTTCTCTGCCGAAGGCCAACAAAGGAAGAAATCCAAAGCCAGATCTGCTGCGGGGGAGCAGACTTGGGTTACATCAAAACAAAACAAAACAAAACCATGACTTCAGTTAACACAGTGTTCAATCCGAAAGCAAGCTCAGGGTCTGTCGGGAGGTCAATAGTCCCATCTCCAGTGTGCTCCTCGGATGTGGACGGTGGCAGAGGCCTCAGCCAGCCTCTGGAAGGCGTACCGACAAGAGCCCGAAGAGGGAGGCATTCATACACCAGAATGTCTGACAAAGGGTGGCTGTCATTTTAAAAAGGAAACTGGAAAATAACATGTGTCGGTTAGGATGTGGAGAAACTGGGACCCTTATTCATTGCTGGCAGGAATGCGAAATGGTGCAGCCACTTTGGAAGACAGTTTGGCAGTTCCCCAAAAGTTAGATATTAGAGTTACCAAATGAGCTCTACTCTTGGGTATAGCCTCAAGGGAAATCAAAATATATATCTACACAAAAGCTTTACGTAATGTTCATAGCAGCATTATTTGTAGAGGCCAAGAAGTGGATACAACTCAAATGTCCATCAGCTGTTGAATGGATAAACAGAATGAGGTATATCCATAGGGTAGAATATTATTGAGCCAGAAAAGGAAATGGAGTGCTAACAGATACTACACACCACATATATGAGCCTTAAAAACCTGACGCTAAGTGAAAGAATCTAGTCACAAAAGACCACGTATTTTATGATCCCATTTATATGAAATGTCCAGAAGAAGGAAATCCGTAGACAGAAAATCCATCAGTGGTTACTCAGGGCTGGGTGCTGGGGAATGGGTGTGGGATTGCTTTTGGGGTGATGAAAATGTTTGGGAATGAGAAGGTTGTGGGAGTGGCCCAATGTTGTGAATATACACCTCTGAAACACCACTGAATTGTATACTTCATTAATTTTTTTGTTTTTTTTTGAGGAAGAGAGAGAGAGAGTGCGAGTGGTGGGGGGTGCCAGAGGGAGAGGGAGAGAATCTTAAGCAGACTCGGTGCTGAGCACAGAGCCCGACATGGGGCTTGATCTCACGACCCCGAGATCATGACCTGAGCAGAAATCAAGAGTTGGACACTTAACTGACTGAGCCACCCAGGGACCCCTGAATTATATACTTTAAAATGGCAAGTTTCGTGGTACATAAATTATATTGCAATTTGAAAAAAAAAAGAATATCTGATGACAGTTCTGTGGTCTTTCCAAAAAAAGGTATTTTAGTCAGGAAATAGGTCAACAGAGGTCACAGAAAGTACTGTAAGCCCTTCTAAAAGCCAGCCTCATAAACGCGTGAGATGGATACCAATTCACAACAGGATACCAGTTCACAACATGTGGCTCCTCAGGCCAGCCAAGGTGGAGGAGCACCAGCTTCCAGGACTGATGTAAATTCAACCCAGGGTCTCTTTATCTGAAGCATTTATTACAATGACAATGTAAGGTTCCCAAGCAAAAGCCTGTTCTATTGCCTGTTGTCACAGCCTTTCTGTAAAAGAACGCACGTATGCAGAAAAAGGAAACTAACAAAAAAATCTCATTTTCCAAAAATGATGAATGGTCGGCCCCTAAAGAGCATGGGCCTCGGGGAAGAAAGCATCTCGGTGGAGGGTTCGGTGTGCAGCCAGTAGTGAGGGGGCTGCCAGCAGCCGGGGTGTGGCCTGCCAGGGTCACTCGCTCAGGATTCAGCCAGCCCGTGCTTCTACGATCCCCACCTCCCGCCCGGGACCCCGGCCTCCAAAGCCAGGATGCCAAAGTGCAGCCCCGTAAAGGCCGAAACAGTTCAGACCAGGCTTGACATTCTGAGGGTTGAGCTAAACTATGGCTCTGTTGTGGGAGAGTATAAAGGAATATGTATGTAGGCGGAAGCTCCTTCAAGAAATTCCCCGTATGTGTTGTTTCAACAAGATGTTCAGTAAGCAGCAAGCAGCAAGGAGGTTGAGGTTCTGTCCCTGACGAGTGCCTGGGGAGCAGATCATCTACACTGCTGCTTCAGACCCTGTGTGCCCACTCCAACTCACTCTGTCCTCCTCACGGTAGCACCTTCTAACGTGAACAAGCACACGTAAGTGACCTCTGCCATAATTAGGGCTGCTGGTCCTTTAGGTCACTTGCCACGTGCCAGAGCTGTTCTGAGAGCTTTATGTATATTAATCCATTTGATCTCGTAACAAGTCTATATGTAATGCTAATAGGTACTATCTTCATCCTAATTTGACAAATAAGGAAACAGACACAGAGAGATTAGATAACTTGCATAAGGTCGCAGAGCTGGGATTGGAACCCATAGTGGATGCAGAACGTAGGCTCTTAACTTTACTGCCTTTGTGAGTACAAAACTAATTAGTATTGCCACGGGGGTGGGGGGGATTCTCATCTCCAAATCAGCTATATTTTGCTTCTGTCCCCATAGAGTTGTCAGGTCACAGTAAAAGGCATGGCCTCTTGGGAGCCTGGCAAGAGAGGGGATAGCATTGCTCCAGGTGAGGGGAATACCCCAGAAATCTGCCCGCTACCTTGGAAAGGATTCTGCCAATATTGAGGGGGAGCCCACAGGGGCCCCCGGATGCAAGCGTGCATGCCTGCGCTCACACACACTGTTTAGGAGATAAGAGAATCCTCCACTCCCTGAGCTCCAGATGTAAGGAACTTTTGTCGCATCCAGTCATTTGGGTCCTGAGCGGAGTGGCAGCATCCAGCCTCCTGTCAGCCATCGAGGCGGCTCTGGTGGCGAAGGCGTCTGGGCTCTGACAGTGTCCTCTTTTCCCGTTTTCTCCTTCTCCGTCCTTCACTAGACCCTAAAGGTTAGGGGAGTGGACCGTACGCCCTACCTGGGGGATGTAGCCATCGTTGTGCATCCTGGGAAAAAGGAGATGGGCACGCCACTCGCAGACACCCCCACCCGGCCCGTTACCCGACACGGGGGCATGAGGGACCTTCATGAGTCCAGCTTCAGCCTCTCTGGTAAGAGCAGGGGCCACTCCGCCTGGGACCTGCGTCTCTCCCGCAGTGGGGTAGCAGGAGCTGAGGGACTTCTGCAGCGTTTCCTCTCCCTCTTCTCCCCTGCCCCGGCCCCCGCATGTCTAGAGATGAGTGCCGGGTCCCACAGTAGAGACGCAGCAACATTAGGAGGGGCGGGAGGGCTCTCCAGGTCACTGGGCACCAGCCACTCCGAGAGGGCACAGCTTGTCTGGTGCTCCTCTCCCCATGGCTTCTAAGTCCACATACTTTTTTTATTTTTCCCCTTGAAACATCTTGAGGGCTCTGCACACAGTGGGTGCCCTGGGGATGATCAGAGCTCAGAAAGGTTAACCCTCTGTGCTACGTGGGACTGCACCCCCACTGCGGTCTCTCCGTCCCCGTCCCTGCTCCTCACCAGCCTCTGAAAGAGGTGTTTCCCTTATTCCCTTTCCTCTCACCCCAGCCCCATGTTTGCCCTCCAGCACCTTCTTTTTTGCCAACAATTGTAATGCATGTGATACCATAGATGATACGTGGGGTGTGTCTGCTCTGGGACTTTATTTATCCCAGGCACTCTGCAGTAGTGAAAGGTGGGGGTCATTGCCACAAAAACGGTAGCCCTCCCGGAGAACGAGCAAGGCTATACGGTGGCCTGGTCCTGCAGGCAGCTCTGACGGATGCTGGGACCCCCGCTTGAAGAGGGCAGGGCCAAGTCTCCCTGAACTCGCTGAGTGGCCTTCGGAACCAGACCAGGTGGAGGCCCGGCATCGCTCTGCAAGGGCCACACTGGGGCCTGAACAGTGAAAGGAGCAAGATCCAGATCCTTCCACACAGGGCGTGGCATTTACTGGTACATACAAGCTGTCCTAATACGAGAGGCCGAGGAGTACCAAGGGAGCAGGGCTGCCCCCCGAGCTTCCTCTGTGCCCCCCTATGTGCTGGGGGCAGCTCAGGTCAAAGGACACATGCTTCCTGTTTTGAGGACCTTGCAGTTGGGGTGGGGGTCCTCTCCATCCTCAGAGCCAGTCTCGTTGCCATGATAACTGTTCCCCCACCCTGAGGGCCACAGTGACAAGACACGGGTGCTGGGAGTCACAGAAATCCGTGGTGTGGACTGCATTCCGCCCTTCAGGCGTCAGCCACGCCCGGAGAAGCCTCAAGGCGCTCAGAGCTGTGGGCGCACCGGCCAGTGGCTTCTGCCACTTCTCAGGGCACGATGTCTCTCAGACTCAGCAAATATCAGGCGTCCTCCCACCTTCCTTCCACCCAGCCTTGTCTGTTCTGGATGGGCTGGACTGAAGAAGGTCCCACTCACTCCCTGGGACACCAAGCCTCTTTTTTCTAAGTCTTGGGATTTCAAGACGCTGGGCCCTTGGGGTGTGGTTCTTTGGTTTTCCAGAACAATGGAGTGCCCAGCCTTCTCCCTGTTGTACTCACTGGGGTGTGTGTACAAAGGTCCACATGCTGACGGGCTGATTCGTGGTCTATGTGCACCACAAAAGCCCACATTCCCAGGCTTGGGAGCGAAGGTGGCAGAGGCCCTGAATCAGAAAGACCCGGGTTGAAATCCAGGCGCTACCACTTACACACACTGTAACCCTGGGCGAGTCACTTAACTTCCCTGAGCCTCGGTGTGCTCATCTGGAAAATGGGCTGGAGCTGTGAGGCTTCGGTTAGAGCATACCCACAGAGGGCTTACCAGCCTCCCCCGCTAGATGGTGGCTGTGCATTTATAACCCGGGCGAGAGCCGCCGAGCTCACCCTCTGCTTCCTTCCCTGCAGGTTCTCAAATCGACGACCACGTTCCAAAGCGAGCTTCGGCTCGGATCCTCGCTCCCCCCGGAGGCAGGTCAAGCGGCATTTGGTAAAGGCACTGACCAGCCCCCCAAGTGAGGACGCACCACTGCCACCAGCCCGCACACCCTCCGGCCACGGCTGCAGGGGGCGGGAGAGGCTGGGCCGGGCGGCACACCACCTGAGGGGGCCACGGGACCCGGGGAGCCCTCCCCATGTCTGACCCGTGATTCACTGTGCTTCGAGCCAACTCTAACAGGCACTTTGAGATGTGTTCCTCCCGCTGCAGTCCTTTCCTGCCTTGGCCCCGGCAGGCTTTTTCGGGGGCCCAGGAAAGCCACACTATGCACCGAGCCCACTGCATAGAGCCCAGCCCAGCCCCTCCTCTCACCCCCCCGCCACGTGCTGGCCTTTAGTGCCCTGCCCCCTGGCCGACCCACCAGCTGTCCGGAGCACTTTAGCAGGTGGGTGTTGGAGGAAAAGGACCCCCTCCCCCGCAGGAGGCCCTGTGGTCACTTTTCCCAAGTCAGACAGCTGTTGGCTCCCCAGCCATGCCCAGGGTGTCCCGTTCCTCCTGACTCAACGCTGGCCCCTGTGTGTGTGTGGTGGGGACACTCTGCACCCTTTGCCAGCTTCTTCCTCCTCCCACCCCAGCCTCTGGGAGTCACAGGCCCCGAGGGGCTCGCTGGGCGGGGCACGGGGCTGGTGCCAGGCGCGTGTACATGATTTTGTTTTGCACGTTTGGTTTGCGCAGTGGTTTGGTTTGACTTGTTTGTGCATCCTGTGAAGAATAACGGTGCTTCGTGTCACTAGCATAGCATAGAAACAGGAGTAGATGTGGACCTTAAGAGACGCTGCACTCGACGCCGACCAGACAGCCTAGGGCACAGACGAGGAGCGGGGCGAGGTGCCGGGCTCACAGGCCCTTCTGCCCACCCGGAGTCTTCCAGGCTGCCGCGGCCCTGTCCCAGGCCCTCCTCCCCTCCCCCACCAATCCTGGGGTAGTTGTCTACATTCTGGGTGGGGGGCCCAGTACGCCAGCCCTGGGGACCTCCGGGGAGCAGAGTCGCCCCTCCCAGCACTAACACCCCCAAACACCCGGCTCCCTGTAAACTCCCCCCACTGGACAGAGGCCCAGCCGCTCCTCCCGTGTGATTGGCAAGAGGCCTCACGCCTGCTGAGAGAGGGGGAGCAGGACTCGGGAGTGAGCGGGCTAGAGGCCGGGGAAGGAGGCCAGGCCAGCGGCACCAGGCCGGAGAACCCACCTTGCCGCACAGGTGCTGTGGCCTCCTGGGCTCAACACCTCCCCTTTCCCTGCTGGTGGCCTCCGTCTCCTCCCACGTCCAGTTGGGCTCTCCCTGCCTCGGATGCCCCGGGAGGTTTCCAAGGAAACGTTAGAGGCTGGGTGATCATCCGCCCCGAGTGAGCTGGGAGCATCCCAGCCACCTGCCCTTCTTAAGCCTTGCCCTCCGGGCAGGGAAGTGATTTCATGTTGCACATTCGCTTTGCGCACCCCGCGCTTGCCCTGGGGCTCTTGGGCTGGTGGTCCTACCCTGCACATTTCTTCAGTGCTTTACATGCTTTCAAAGCACTTCCATATACGAGCTCTCGATTGCTCCACCCGACTGCAGAGCATGTGTTATTCTCCCCATTCCACAGATGAAGCCCAGAAAGTTTAAGCCTTCTGACCCCACGAGTGTCCATGACGACCCTTAAGAGCTTGGCTCGTCTACCCTGGCTGTGGAAAGGAAGAGTGGGGGGACGTCTCTTGTAGATCCCACCTGAGAATTGAACCATCCAGAAGACTCACTCCCGTGGTAGGCATTCTGCTTTGTTTTGCACAGGTAGATAGATCTTTCTCATAAACCAGCTAACGCCTATTCACTCTCTGAGCCAGCACTAGTTAAATGTTGGGGGGCTTGCCCTGTGACTTGAGTTGCCTCCACATCCTCCCTTCTTGCTCATCTTCCTCACTTAGGAGCTGAAAGGACAGAGACGGTACCCCAGGGAGCAGAGGCAACAAAGGCACTCATGGGGGGTGGCAGCCACGGGGATAGTAGGTAGAGATCTGGGCCGAGGAAACCATGACACGGACCCCTCGGTACAACGCACATCATCCTGTTTATCCCAGCCCGTTGCTGGGTCGTGGGCCTTGGGCAGATGCCAAAGAGCCGAGCAGTGGTGGCAGCCGGAGGGCACAGCATCCCTGCTTGGGCTAAGAAAGCTTTACCTTCTCTGAGTGCCTCCGCCCGAGAGATGCATGGTCCATGGGATGGCTCTGGGAGACCACATCTTGGAGCGGTCCACAGTAGGCCTTCCACTTCATCTTACCCCCCCTCCACACACACATACCCCCCGATCCTGTCACAGACCCCACCCTTGCCCAGGAGCTTCTAGATGAAAATCAGAAGGAGGGTCAAGGGACCAAAGGAACGCTCAGCCCCACCCCCCCACCCCCCCACTCCTTGCCCCTGTGCAGAGCTCCAGCCAGCTCCATCAGCAGCCCCACCGCTCCTGGTTGGAATGACAAGGGTCTCTGGTTGCCCTGAATGCAGCTCTCAAACTGGTCTTGTACTTGCTGAATAAATACTGTTGTTCTTGCCTTAGCTGCTCTCTAGGTTTGTGGGATTAAGTGACCAGAAAATTGTGCTACCGTGTGTGCGTGTGTGCGTGTGTGTAGTGCTAGGAGTCCACAGTAGGTCTCTGTCAAGCCAATGCCGTGATGAGGGCTTTTCCAATACTGACCCAGAAACCACAGAAGCACGCGAAAACCCCAACCCCCTCCAGCTGCCCCGGGCGGCAGGCACAGCCTGGGGTCGGGATGGAGCCTCCAGCACCCAAGTGACTTCTCACTCCTCTGTAAACGTCATGGTGCTAAGATTGTGTCAACCCCAAGACGACACATGGTCCTGTGCTCTGGCCACCTGTTTGAGGCAAAGACAAAACAGCCCGACACATTGTGTTCTGGTGCAGGTTTGTATTAAACTGTAGCTACTTCTCACTTGGTCTCCGTTGTGTTTCTTCCAAAGAAGAGAGAGTTCGGCAGGGGACCTCCTCCCCAGTGGCAGGGGCAGACCTCAGTTGCTAAGAAAACTCAGCTTTGGTTCTTCACTCGTATTGGGGGTCAGGTGGCCTCTCACCGGGAGGCCTGAGCAGAGTCTGCAGGGAAAAACAGCTGAGAGGTGAGAGCCTCAGTGCCCAGTCCTCCTGGTGGGAACAAAATCAAGGCTTTTGGAGCCAGATTCCCAGAACAAGGTTGCTGAGTTAACTGAAACAGGGATAACTGGGGGAAAGCATTACATACAAAAGGCGGGGAAACTAGGCTTTCCCCACTTACCCGTTGTTGCCTATTCTTGGCTACCATTTTGGAAACCCATAGCCCCCTCTTTACACAGTGGAACTCTTGGCCGATGGAGCTGTGGCCTCAAAAGATCACAGGACAGAGGGCTGTCCCAAGGCCAGTGTGTCTTTGAAGGACCTCCAGGCTACTCTCTGGTTCTCCAGAACCGCCCCGCCTTTGGATTGGTCTACTGTACCCTCCAACCCCTTCCACCTGCACCAAGACTCCTCTGCCTTCTCTCTAGATCTCAGCCAGCTGTTGGAAGGGATTACTGGATCAAACTCCCACACTGAAGAGTGAAACTGTTGCTTCCATTACTACAGGGTCACTTGTACTTATTTCTTAGCCCCCGAAGATAAAACCCCAATGAGGGAATTTTAGGCAGTGTACGAAATCGTTGGTGGCAAGGGAATTTTCCCAGCTTTCACCAAATAAACAACTCTGCAAATAAGACCACGACCAGAAGTAATACCCTGGGTGCTGCATTTGGGGCAAAGCAGTTGGCTATTATGAAATGAGCTGTATGTACTAGCTCCAGTGGGGTTTCTGAGCCAGTATTACCTGGCTTGTGAAGGATGCCGAGTCCCTGGGATGGGACTGGGCCAAAGTGTCTGTGTTAGCCTGATTTCCCATAACGTGAGAACACACCAGAATTTGATTAACTGCCAAAAATACATGGCTTCAAGCGTTTGGATGAAAACTAATGTGGCCATATGTTTGCCAGGCCATGTGTACCGTATGGGGTGATTGATAGAGAAAAAAAATAAGACACCCGGAAAGACACAGCAGGCCTTTGTGTGCATGTAGTTGAGGGAAAATAAAAAACCACAGACTTTAAAATAAGGCAGTCTACTAAGATCATTTATAGGATTATCTGCATTCAGGGAAACCTCACCAGCCACGGGCTGGGCAACGTTCACCCTCAGTCTCTTTACTCAGAATTACAGGAGGACTTTTTTTTTTTTTAGATTTTATTTATTTATTTGAAAGAGAGAGCGAGAGAGCGAAGCACAAGCAGGGGGAGCGGCAGAGGGAGATGGAGAAGCAGGCTCCCTGCTGAGCAGGGAGCCTGATGTGGGGCTCGATCCCAGGACCCTGGGATCAGGACCTGAGCCAAAGGCAGACGCTTAACTGACTGAGCCACCCAGGTGCCCCCAGGAGGACTTTTTTACAAAAGTATAACCCAACACTAAGAATTGCCTTGTAGTTGGTGGAGATGGGAGAGTCTCATAACACCCCAGGTCTAAAGAAGAAACCTCGTGATACACAGGGAGGGGAGACCTTATAGTGCTAGGTTAATAAAATATTATTTGACGGTGTTGTTGATAACATATTTGAAAGGGTTTTAGTGCTTTCCCACTAAAACGAAAGGATCTAACATTCTGTTGAGACTTGATACCATCTTAAAATGGAAGCAGACTTCTTCATTTCTTTCCCTGGTATATTTATGAACCACACATTTATACCTGCAGGGATCTTGTCCTGGTTGTCCCAGGATAGTTCTGGGTTAAGTCTATTGCTCCAGAATAATTATGAATCGTGCCCCCTTTCATGTATGTCGTGCTTTGGGCAGTAAATCCTATAGCCACCTCATGCATGCCTATTTATTTGTCAGGCCATTCATATGCCTGTCCAGGAGTTAAAGAGTTATCCACCACTGAAAGATGAGGGGCAGGGCATCGCGGGAGGTGGGGAAAATGGGTCCTTCTGCAGGGAGTGGGGACAAGGGTGTCCTGTGACAAGCCCTGAGTCTTCACAGCTCCAGGAGGTTTCTTTTATATATATATATATATTTTTTTTAATTTTATTTATTTTTGAGAGAGAGAGAATGACAGAGAGAGAGAATG